AATGATCAGTGCAAACCCACATTCCACACAGGAAATGTGATTGTGGTAGGAAGCTGCACCCCCTGGTGGACAGGGACTGAAATGGGTGCATGTTGGCCAGAGGCCTCCCAAATTCAGCCATCTGTGTCATCCCTGACTTCATAAGGCACATGTCAGTCATCAGGGTGGCCCCATGGAAGTCTGAACAACAGCAATCCTCACCTCTCAGGTCTATTTGTTCTTAAGACACCACCTGATATGGAAGTTCTTTAACACCGCATCCCAGGGCATTTCGGTAGTTGTGAGGGCTCTTCTAAAGCATTTTACTACAGTACTTCATATTCTCATGTATCCTTGTGAGCCAGCCTATAACACACTGACTGCCAGAAAAGGAGTTGGAAGTGAATATGGGAAAAGTAATAAGAAGTCAAGTCATTGCTGAGTGATTCTGTGTTTTTGGCACTTTACCTCAGTATTTAGAACCATGATTGTCATTTTTTAAGTACTCTCTAAATATTTTCTAAATTAAACAAAAATAATGAACAAATGGCCTTTATTTTTTCCCATTAATAAACAGTTTATTCAGTTCATTATAGTGGGTAAGTTCCCAGCTAAATGCACACATATAAGCGTATGCACACATACAAGTTCCCAGCTAAATGCCCTGGGTTAATGCAGGAGCCAGCGGGTTACATGGGACTGGGCACGAGGCAAGGAGGGAGCACCAAGGTTTCAGAGTCAGACCTGGCCAGAGCCCCTGAGTGGAGGGGTGGGCTCACGGCCCACCCCACACTGACCCCACTGCTTCCTTCTCACAGCTGGGCATCCTGCAGGGCGTATCTTCAACACTGCAGCATCTCAGTGAAGCCAGGGGAACAGATATTAAAAGGAGCCCGTGTCTGGGTGCCCCTCAACTCTTGTTGCTCAGACAACATTCTTCGAGGTGACAAACACTCAGGAAGTTAAGAGACCCTCTTCATCAGCCGCATGGCAATCTGTGAAGGCACTGGGCCAGGTGTGGGCCAGGCAGCTGCATTTCAAGTTTGGAGTGCTTATGACATTACAAAGGCACGTTGCCTAGAAATTAAACTTTATGGTAACAAACAGAAAATAATCAGTTTAGACAGAACAGTAGGCGAGCTCAAGAATATAGCAGGTTCTAGGTCAAACATCTTGAAGAACTTTCTTGAACAGCAGGCTGGGGCTGCACTGGTTCTTCACGGGGAAACATTCCACATGATGATGATGATGATGACCACAACAACAATCCCTATCACCCATATCTTGCAATTCTTTCACTAATATTTTCTCTTCGACTTGGCAGAACTTGTTTCAAATTGGGACACTCCGGCTTGCAGCGGGACTGCGCGACGGTCTAACTCCGAGAGCTTCTGATCTCTTTCCAACACCTTATCCACACTGACTCTTATGATGTCCACCACCTCATCTACTTGATTTTGTGTCAGCTGAAGGCTTCGGTTGCTGCCAGAGGCAGCACTTGAACCTGGAGGTGCACTTATAGACATTTTGGTAGCAGCGGGCGACGGTCAGCAGAGCAACGCAGCCGGACCAAAGGCCAGGAGCTGGGCCAACAAATGGCCTTTAATTGATATAACATATTTACTTGTTCCTAAACTATTAGCAATTGCAAGAAATACTATTTTTTAATAAAAGCTTTCAGAAGAATTCACACTATTTGTCAAACATTATAATAGCCAAATATTCCTGATTTTTAGAATAATTAAAAAGTGAAAAATAGGAATTATAGACAGAAAAAACATCATACATGGAGTCATCGAATCCCTATAGAATGATCTGAGATTCTTATGTTCTCAAGATTTTGTTGACTCCCACATCAGGTGACTAGTGTATGTGAATTAGGCAACAAATATTAATGCTATCCTCTTAACAGGTTTAGCCTAAAGGATGCTATCTATTGCCAACTGTCACATTTTGTTGCCAAACATTAATCAAATAATTTTTCCCACAAGGTAAGAAATCAGGATTATCAAGAAAAGTTCTGGAGAGGGATGCATCTTCTGTAAAGCCCTATAAACGTTTACTCTAGACACATTAGGAAGCTGAGCTCAGCTGTTTCCTGCAGCGACTGCCCACACATTCAGGTCAAGGAACATCATGAGTCCAAAGCCAACATGGGAAAGGTTTCTCAGATGCAGAGTGAAGTAAGAAATTCAGGCCTGGATATTGTTTTGGTTCATACCACCTTCCAAATCACATTGTCAGAACCTGCTTCAAAATTATGTTAGAGGGGAATTTTGGACAAGCCCCTATGAACTTCTATTCAGGTATGCAGGGACAATGTGAAATAAGTTGGAATAATGCTGGTTGAAAATAAACAGATTAGCACATGGATGAAAAAGGTTATTATGTATAACTTAAAAAAACAGTTTCAGGCCAATGAAAGCCTACAGGAGAAATATTTTGCACGTTGCATCAGACAAGAAGAATTGCATGTCACTGAGGGAAGATACTGCATAGAAATCTGGATATTTAATGGCTTTATTAATACATAATTTACATAATAATAAACTGCACAAAATTAATCAATTATTTTTAAGATTATTTATTTATTTGAGAGAGCGAGAGATAAGGAGAAAGAGCATAAGCTGGGAGGAGAGGGAGAAGCAGGTCCCCTGATGAGCTGGGAGCCCAACTCAGGTCTCGATCCCAGGACCCTGAGCCGAAGGCAGACGCTTAACTGGCTGAGACACCCGGGCGCCCCAAAGTAAACAATTCTATAAGATTTGATGTATATATGTATTTGTGAAGCCATCACCACAATGGAGATAACAAACATAGGCATCACCCCAAAAGTTTCCTCACATCTTTTTGTAATCCTTCTCTAACCCTCACCACCCCCATTTCCAGAGAACCCTTCTGTCACGAATCAGTTTGTATATTTTATACTTTTGTAAAAATGGAGTCATATGTACTCTTTTGTCTGGCTTCTTCTAGCATAATTATTTTCAGAACCTTCCATAGTCATAATTATCAAAACTTTCTTTTTGTTGCTGTGTAGTATACCATCATGTGTGTATAAAACAATGTGTTTATTCACCTGTTGCTGACCAAATGATTAGTCCCAGTGAGGGACTAATAAAGCTGCTATGAGCATTTGTGTATGTTTTATAGACATATGCTTTCATTTCTCTTGGATCAATTTCTGTGAATACAATGGCTGGATCATATGGTAGGTGTACATTTGACTTTCTTAAAACAATTTGTTCTAGTAGCTGTTTTGTAGATTCCCTTGAGTTTTCTGCGCAGGCAATTATGCTGGCTGTTAATAAAGATAAATTCGCTTCTTCCTCTCCAAACTGTATGGCTTTTGTTCCTTCTACATGCCATATTGCATTGGCTGGAACCTCTACTTCAATATTAAATAATAAGTGGTGAGAGCCAAAACTCTTCCCCTATTTCCCAAACTAAGGAGAAAGCATTTAAGCTTTTATCATCAAGCATGACATTTGATGGAAGTTTTCGGTTGAGCCCTTTTTTCACTGAGGAAATTCCCTTCAATTCCTTATTCGCTAGGAGTTTCTCTCAGGAATGGATCTGGATTTTGTCAAATGCTTTTTCTGTACCTATTGAGATACCCTCATAAATTGCTCATCTGCTATTTGTCAATCACTTCGGATATATTACTGAAAAACTGTCACAACAAAATATTAAAGAAGGTATCACTCTCCAAATTTACAAATAATAAAGCAAGCTCAAAAATATCAAGAACTTGTTGGCAGAGCTAATACTTTTGAACACAGAGATGGATGATAGCAAAAACCTGTTCCCTGTTTTTGCCACTATTGTTGTTGACAGAAAAATTGAGAGAGAGATTGGAAAGAAAGATTGGACTTCTTCCCAAACCTTTGAAATATTTTAAGACACTCTTTAACAGGTTCTTTATTATACAAATGGAACTAATAAAGAGATTCAAAAAAGTGCAGGTTTTGCCCCTTTACCAAAATTGGAAAGAAAATATAATAGATACCCAAACTGCTATTCAGGAGCTGACCACTGGGGAGCAGCTTCACCATTCCATTCAGGCCAGTTATTAACAACTGATTTATGCAATGCAAAGTAGCAAAAGTGGCAAACTCTTCTAGGATTTTGTGATTCACCAATATTGGAGCTCCATTCATGACTAGTGGTCACTCTGTTCCTTGAAACTTGCTTGTGATAACCCAGTCTGGAGCATAGTTGTTCCAGTTAACAAGTATAAATATTTCTCAAAAATTTAGAAATAGAATTGCCTTATGACCCAGCAATCCACTTGTGGTATATACTCAAAAATGGGAAGAATTTGTCTCTATACCCATAATATTGAGATGTTTATGAGTTCCTGTTTCTACCAAAAGGTGGAAACAACCCAAAAGTCCATCAACAGATAGGAATGGATAAACAAAATGGGATGTGACATACACTGGAATACTATTCAGCTTTGAAAAGCAAAGAAATTCTGTCACATGTTGCAACAAGGAAGAACCCCGAGGACATTATGTCAAATGAAATGTCACAAAATGACCAATACTGTATAATTGACTTCTACAACGTATCTAAAGTAGTTAAACTTGTGGAAAGAGAAAGCATAATGGAA